AACAAATATTAGTGGCAGTCCACTAACCATCAATCATGTTTCATCCTATCATCCTTTTAATTTTTGCTCCATTGACAGAACTTCAAAACAAAAATGGCTCATTCATTCCTTGTTTTTTTGTTGTTGATTTGGTCATATAACATTTCAGAGCTAAGGAATGTGGATAACTTGTTAAACATTCTTTTTCCTGCCTTTGTCGTGCTTGACCTAAGTTCTGCATGGGAACCAAAATATAAGATGTAAGATAGATATAAAAAATTATGCACTCTTATGCACGGGGAATGTTATTTCATATATTTACAAAAGTACATCGGAAAAAGTACAGGAGAACACTGGATGACAAAGGTAAGGCTTTAACTCTTAGCATGCATTTGTGGAATGTGGAATCTTTGCTGGTATATCACCTGTGTTAGTATTTGGACTCTTAGTACGTAGTAAAAATATATTATTCAATTTAATATAATTTAAAAAAAATGCCATAGTAAACTAATACAATAATTATAATTATACTAACCTTTCCTTTATCTATGTCCTGCCATAAACAGATCAAACCCAATGGCTCCCTAGTAGTATTAAATCATAGTTAGTATAGGTTCTCTTTGCGATTTGTATGGCACACAATCCCAACATTCTATGGTAGTGTATGGCTTTGAGTCATGTACAGCATGGGAATTTATGTAAATGTTTTCATATGATGATAAACAAATTACCCCCCGTGGCCTATTACTCACCTCTGATCAAGATGATCTTAAATTTATGGAGGAATGGAACAGCAAACTAGAACAATGTACCCTTGGTCTCATGGAAACCTTATTACTGAAAAAGAGTATCAAACTCTCCATTTTAGACACAGAAATCAATAAACTCAGGGACAAACTACTACCCTTTACTGAGACCAAGGCATATAAACAAAATTCTATATTGATCGAAAGTAAAATTGAAAAAGTCGAAATAGACACAAAGCACCTTAAAATCAAGAAATATATCAGAGATAAGTCAGATTATTCAAACAAACAAGTTAGAACCTATCATCTGAACAAAATATACACTTTACAAAATCCTACTTACAATGATAACTCTAACGAAAACAAAAATTACGCAAGAACGGACACACATCTTGAACGAAGAAGGCATACAAATACCGAGACACATCACTATAATTATCATCCGCACGAATATCAGAACTACGTAACAAGGAAACCTCACCACTCACCACCAACAATGTGACAACACAGAGCCCAAGCCAACCAGTATCACGGTCCCTCACATAAGTTCCACCAACACTCACCAATACCATGCACCTTCATACAACAATTGCAGAAACACTCATTCAACTTACAATTCCACACAACCTATAAAATATCACAACACATCTGGTTCCAACAAGAGATACTTCTCACCCAAACCCCAAAGTTCACAGTATATCAATGATCATAAAGAATACCCCAAATCACCTACCATTCCTCATCACCAAAATAGATATCAATTTTTATCAATTGATTCTGAATTTGAAAATGAAGACTATTTTTTAGAGAGCTGTACCCACCCCAACACACTAGCCCAAACACCACACCCATCACGATCACAAAAAATAATTTTAAGTTTAGAGGAAGAAGAAGTGGCAGACGTGAACAAGAGAGAGACTAGAAAGAAAATAATCACCCAAAATGACCAATGCAGTGGCATTTTTAACCTTTCACAAAAAACCTTAACCATCGCACAAATATCGGTTTTAAAAAAAGGTCTGAAATTGGCCCAACCAACTCTTTTAAATCTTTTGAAGCTTTTATAGATGTCAATAAATTTGTTCGCAAAGCCACTCTTAAGCATTTTTTTATGGGAAAAAATTGAAGAAACCCCTACTCTACCCTTCTCCTCACTTCCTGACAATCATAACATTATTAATACAAATTTAAAAGACGAATCGAAGTTTTATCCTTCCTATATGAAATCAGTCCCACTTACAATGTTTTAAAAACTAGTTACAAAATATCTTCAAAAAAATATAAATTAATAAACACGATCCACATAACCTCACACATGCAGAAAGAAAGGCACTCAAAGAATTCCAAGACAACACAGACATAGTGATAAAACCAGCTGATAAAGGAGAAGGGTTAGTTATTTTATCTAGCACAATGTATATAGAAGAGGCACACAGGAAACGTAATGACACTAACGTTTACGAAAAATATTTATCAGACCCTACCACTAACATACAAACCATTTTATCTCAGTTTTTTTAAAAAGGTTTTGACTTAGAAATTTTAAATAAACATGAGTTTAATTTTTTTTTAAAATAAATTCCCTATTATCCCTGTTATTTATTTCCTCCTTAAAATACATACAAATGAAAATAAATCCCCAGGATGGCCAATAGTATCAGGCATAGGCTCCCTCATTTGTAATCTTTCCCAATATGTAGATACCTTTCTCCAACCCACTGTAAAACAAATAAAGTTTTATCTCCAAGAGTCAATGTCACTATTAAAATTTTTAAATAATTTTAAATGGAATCCAAATTTTATATTGGTCACCTGTGACGTTCAATCCCTGTACACCATGACATAGAATGCAAAGCTATTAAAGATATTTTAACTAGAGAAAATAAAATTTCAAATATACACATAGATTTTATATTAGAGGCCATAAATATTATTTTAAATAATAATTATTTTTGGTTCCTCAATTCTTTTTATTTCCAAAAAAGATGGACAGCTATGGGTACTAGGTTTGCCCCGAGCTATGCTAATTTATTCATGGCTGATTGGGAGTCCAAAGATATTTTTGATGCACATGCCTGGAGGGCAAACCTGGTCTCATATTTTAGGTACATTGATGACCTCTTTTTTTTATTTGGGACGGATCTGAAGAAAACCTCATTTCTTTTATTGATAATCTTAATATTAATAACAGAGGCATAATTTTAACAAATGAATTCAGTAGGGAACAAATTAACTTTTTAGATCTAAATATATTTATTAAAAATGGGCAACTACATACCAAAACGTTTTAAAAAAAAATTGTGTAAATACGGCAATTGATAAATCAAGTTGTCATTACAAACCTTGGGTTGATAGTGCTCCTAAAAGACAATTTCTATGCCTACGTAGAAATTGCACAGAATTAAAAGATTTTAACGAACAAGTGGAAGTTTAAAAAAATAAATTTATTGAAAAAAATTATTCAGATTCAGACTTAACAGACACTTTTAACAATATTAAGCTCAAAAACAGAAATGAGCTTTTAACATATAAAACAAAATCAAGCAACAAATCTATATCTCCTTGTTTCTTTTAATTATAATACTAAAAGTGGTAAAATTAAAAAGATTATAAAAAACACTGGCATATCCCAAGACATGATGATAAATTTAGCCAAATCATACCCGTAAATCCAAATATAGTCTTTAGAGGAGCTCCTAATTTTAGATGGATTTTAACCACTAATTTTACTAAGGAAATTATACAGAAAAACACTGTATCCTTCTCCCCCCAAGTAAAAGGTTTCTATAAATGCAAATCCTGTATAGTATGTAAAACTGCTGATTCTAGTGTACCTTCTAAAGTAACACAATTTACCTCAAATAGGACAAAAGAGACTTATAATATCAAAGATTTTATTAACTGCAACACAAGAAATGTCATTTATCTGCTTGAATGTCCATGTGGCTTTCAATATGTTGGAATGACCACAAGGTGCTTAAAAATTAGATTAAGTGAACATTGCAGAAACATAAAAAATGGATACCTAAATCACTCAGTATTCAAACATTTTATTATTAATAATAAAGATCCTAAAATGTTAAAATGCACAGGTATTAAAACATTTATTTTACCCTGGAGGGGAGGTGATGTAAAAAAGTTTTAGGAAAAACAGAAAAATTTAATGAGTCTGTAAGTTACAGACTCTTATACCCCAAAGTTTAAATGCTGACTCTGACTTGTTCAATTTATTGTAAATATGTATATAGATACCTACATTGCTATTTTATTCTATTGACATTCCATGTTTTTTTTATTTTTTATTCTGTATTTAACTCTTCATTTATTATGTATTTTTATCTTTATTTGTACAAATATGGACCCAATTACCCCCACCCCCAATGTCTTCCCTCAACTGCTGTTACTTTTACACTTTTCCTGTCCTAATATGGCCACAGTAATCTTTACTCTGTTCCCCTTCCAAAATGGCTTAAATCCTAACTTAGACGACACGACTATTATGTGCCGCCGTCACTCCCACACGCTCATATCTGCTAAAGCCCAACGCAAGCCGACGATAAAAACTACCTTTCCCACCATTCACCACTCTATATGACGCCTGAACGTGTATGCTTCCAGACCTTTATCCCCCACATCGGCAGACACTTTGAGCGTGCCGACTACATTTCCTATGGGTCTTAGCTAAAATCACAGCGGTCACATTACTTTTTTACTTAATTCCTACTATAAAACCCTCATTTTAAACATTAACCCACATTATTATGCTCATATCCATCCACTTATTCTATTTATATTGGTTACATCTTATATTAAGTTTCATTACGTTTTTGTAACATATATTTTGATTGGCTGACCCGAATTTTGGTGCCAATTTTAATTAAGCATATCCTTATTTAAACTCTCCATGCCAGGTTTGATGTTCTATTCCATTTTGAAGAAGTCTTGATAGGTGAAACGCGTTAATGGTTTTAAATTGTGTATTTTAGCAATACAAGTTTTTTGGTTACCTAAGCTGTACCAATTCTCTTTTTATTGTGTTTTATATGCACTTGTTTAATTAATTTTTTTACTCTTCCTGGCATTTATTATTACTGGTCCTGTACTCAAAGTAATCCGAGGTGGGAATCATTCCACCAACGTTTTACCAATAGAGCAGTGCTTCCTGCTCTACACTTGTGAGTAGTGATGTCCCGAACGGTTCGCTGAACGGTTCACCGTGAACGGTTCGCCATGGACTCTTCATTGAGTAAACTTTGACCCTCTACCTCACAGTCAGCAGACACATTCCAGCCAATCAGCAGCAGACCCTCCCTCCCAGACCCTCCCACCTCCTGGACAGCATCCATTTTACATTCATTGTGAAGCTGCATTCTTAGTGAGCTGTCCAGGAGGTGGGAGGGTCTGGGAGGGAGGGTCTGCTGCTGATTGGCTGGAATGTGTCAAATCTGGTTAGCTAGTGTGTATGCGTCTGTTCGTGAGAGTGTGTGTGTGTGTCTTAAGCACTTACCTTTCTCCAGCGCCGGAATCCCTTGATCTCTACTCAATGCTTTCCTATGGACTTTCAGCGTCTTCTCACTGTGAATTTCACAGTGAGAATCGCAGAAGCTCCTCTAGCGGCTGTTAATGAGACAGCTACTCAAGGCTGGATTAACCCTCCGAGAAACATAGCAGTTTCTCTGAAACTGCTATGTTTTCAGCTGAAGGGTTAAAACTAGAGGGACCTGGCACCCAGACCACTCCATTGAGCTGATGTGATCTGGGTGTCTGTAGTGGTCCTTTAAGTGTATGTGTATCTGCATGCACTGGCGTACATACCGCGGTCGCAGGGGTCGCAGCCCTGAAACCCCTGCGACCAGGTGCCCGCCGCCATGTGTTGCAGCCCCAGCCTGCGCAGAGTAAGTGCGTGGAGGTGGGGGCCCACGGATCAGTTTTCGCATCAGGGCCCCATGGGTTGTGTGTACGCCTCTGTATATATATATATATATATATATATATATAGTTGAAATAGTGTAGGTTATTTAGATAAATGGGATTAAAAAGTGAAAAGATAAGAGATAAGATTCATGGGAGGCATTGCCTAGCAACTTTGTGCTCTTCCTTGCCTATTTACTGCGCTGAAAGGAACAAAGATTATTGTGATACTAATGAGATACATTGGTCTGTTAGGCACAAACAGCAAATTCTCAACTTTGAATTCAGCTTAGGATCTCACTGTGTATATGCTAAATAATAAGACAATGGAAGAGAGATTTCATTTTTTAACGTGTGCAGACTTGTTAGCGTTTAAAGGGTCGAATTTATCAAGGCAAAATCTGACTTCAGGTTCACTTCAGGGGCAAAATTCTAAATTTAAAGCAAACAGTAAAACCATTTCAGTGGCTTGTGTTAAGAGTTTGGATGCTCTTTAAAGGAAGATTAATCAAGGTTAACAGCTGCTCTGCAGGAGCAAAATTCTAAATACGGGCAATCACCATGGAAACCAATTTGTCTTTAACCTGCAATAAATGTGTTTAGAAATCAGTCTTTAAATAAGATAAAATTACTTTTTATTTGAATACATTGTAATAAATATGTCACTTATAATTTGTAAACATCCCCTAGTCACTCCCTCACTTAACCCCCTAAAATGAAATTGTCCCTATTTGTCCATTTAAAATATCGGGAGGCATTAGCATATCATTAATAAAGTGCCCCCAAAGCATCTTTAGTATTGCCTTGTTAAATAAACCACACTGAATTTTCATTTTTAAAACGGGTTTATGAATTTGTACTTGGTCTTTTAACCTCCAACCTCAAATTCTGTGCTCTACTCTTTTATGTTACCTTTTTTGTCATAGCATTTCCTTCCTTCCTTCCTTTTCTGTATTTTAATTCATTAACCCTTTCACTACCGAGTATTATATATCATGACATTTACTTGAAATACGTGATGCATAGCTAGCACATGGTATTCAGAGACCCTAATGCTGGCTGGCGCAATAAGGGATCTGGGTGGATCCACTGGGCAAATATTTTTTTTTATGTGAGGGGGAGGACATTAAATATCAAGCATTAATGGGGCAACAGATTTAGTGTCTGTGTATATATGTATGCCTGAATGAATGAATGAGTGAATGTCTGTTATTGTTGTATGTATTATTGTGTTACTAAATAAGTGTGTCTGTGAATAGTTCGTTATTTATGCGTGTGTATATTATCTATGTTTATATGTGATTGTTGAATTACTTTGTATAACAAATTAGCGTATGTGCGGTGGTGTTTGATATGCATGTGGTCAGGAGAAGCATTTTTTTCTTGGACCCAGTCAACAAAATGTCTTGGGCCAGCCCTGAATACTATGTGTATTATTCACTGGTCTATGCCATCATGCAATGCAGGGCTTTAATGCCCAGTGACGACATAGACTGACATGCAGTATAGGTACCAGCAGGGGTTAAATCCATGCTAGTACCAAGAACCCCTAGGTATCTTTTGATACCTGGAGGTTTCCTTTGTCAGTAGGTGTCAGAAGAGCTATGAGCAGCATTCAAAGTGAGCACCGTTCATAGCCCTTTTAATACCGCTGCTGGGTGATCTCACTTAGCAGTGGTATGTCTTTCACTGCCCCCAGCTTCCAGGATAAAAAAGGGGATCCATCAAGTGTATTCCTGTATTCCCATTGAATACCTTCACCCAGTTCAGTTCCTAGCCTCTTTTAGGGATCCTTCGATGATTTCAGGGACACTTCTCTCAAGAGCTCTTCCACCCGACCTCCAGCTCTGTTCTTCCAGGAAGGTACTGTCTCCTCTGCCTTTCCTTTTCAGCCACTTTACCAGGTAGGTATCCACACCTCTGCCTGTACTGTGATTAGCTACTACCTTTACAAAGGCACTTGTGGCTCTCAGTCCTAGCTTTCTTTTATTTTTACTGAACTACAGGGACTATGCAGCCAGCCAACGGGTATAACAGCCCTGTTACTTGGATCCCTGAACAAATCTAAACAGGACACACAATTCCAAAAGGAACTAACATGCTCAGCTTGATTTTACACACAGACTAGTCCACTGCGCATAACATTAAACTTGCTGTGACAAACTCAATAATATAATAATACAAATTCACTCACTGAGCCCTCTGTAATGTGTGAGTTGGAAAATCTCTCTGCTGATATCAGTACAGTTACATAGTTAGATAGTTACATAGCTGAAAAGAGACTTGTGTCCATCAAGTCCAAAAGAAGGCAAAAAAACCTGGTCTGAAGCGCTTCCAATTTTGCCACAAACTAGGAAAAAATTCCTTCTTGACCCCAAAATAGCAGTCAGATGTCTCCTTGGATCAAGCAGCTATTACCCCACTAATTAGAAATTATATCCCTGTATGTTATGTTTTTGTAAGTATTTATCCAATTTCAGTTTAAACATCTGTATGGACTCTGACAAAACCACCTCTTCAGGCAGAGAATTCCATATGCTTATTGTTCTTACTGTAAAAAAAACTTTTCTTCGCCTTAGATGAAATCTCCTTTCTTCCAGCCTAAATGTGTGACCTCGTGTCCTATGTATAGCCCTGTTTATGAATAGATATCAGCAAAGGGAATCTCTTGAGGGGTGGGATAAGAGGGTTGGATTAGGGGTAGGAAAAGGGGTTAGAATATCGGTTGGAAAAAAGATTTGATTAGGTGTTTGGTTAAGGGTTGGATTAGGGGCGGATTAGGGAAAAAGGTATACATGTGAGGTATAAATGTACTCAGGAATAATAGCAGAATACAAATATGCAGTATTTGAAGTAGCTGAACATGCATGTTCTGTGAATTTCCCCACGATAAAACGTGTGTAGATATAAAAAACAACCTAATTTGAGCTACATTTGTGATAAAATCCTTAGATGTGTCAAAATGCTCTTAGTTACATAGCCTTGGGGATGTACTTTCCACAAATATATACTTTTGTGTAGAGCTTTTGGATTCTGTGACTACTGTTTACATTGTAATCTTAGCATGCCAAATTTTGCCACGTTTTAGCTTTAAAACGGTAATTCATTACTTGCAGTACTTGTTTTAGAACTTCTAAAAATAATCGAAACCTTAGACATATTGAGCATTTTAACAAGCAAGACTAAATGGTGAACCTATTTTGAATTAGTTTTCTTTATTTGCACTTAGTGTGTAAAAATTATTGCATCTAAAACTGAGAAACAAATGTTTTGTGATTATATTTTCCACGTTACTGTGTAATGTATCCATACAGGGTATCAAAGGTTTGATGGCATGATCCCCTGATAGCTTTAATAGCCTTAGATGATTAAAATAAAAGACCTATGAAAAATAAAAGCAATATTGTTGTGGCAAACTTAGCCACTTCAGACTATTCTTTTATGTGTCCAAGGGTTGTCCTAGAAAAGCTGGTTAACTTATGTGATTTTATGTATTCGCGTATAAATGTGATAAAGGGCATTTGTATGCTAGGATCTCAAAAGCCGCTGGCATTCATATGCTAGTTTCACGAACAGTGACTTTCAACACTTTTCGTGAAACTAACAAAGTACCAAATGGGAGACCACACACAGGAGGTCGTGTGGCTCCCATTAATAGATTGATACATTGGATTCACTTTTAGCCCAGCAGTGTTCAGTCGTCTAGTGCCTGGAACTAAAATCGGCTACTCGACGGCACGAACACCGCTGGTCATCCAGACCGTTCGGGAACACCGGTCTTTCTGTATTTTTCTCCAAAATGTGCATTTGTGTGTTTATTGAGACTTTATGTTAAACTGTATTTTATGTGGCGTTCGGCTGATTGTCCTACGATCTGAGCGGTAATCTACTGAAGTATGCGCTCAGTTCCCAGCTATCTACCTATAGGTCATTCGGTACAATAGCTGAATAATGTGCCAGTTATGTATTTTAAGTGAAAAGCCCGGTTCTGCTGTACGGAGGGATAATCCACTTAACAGGATATTCTGTGGGTGTATCCCTCTTGTACAGCAGTGCATAGTGGGAGAAATGTCTTGCATGTTCAGTTCCCCATGTAGTCCCCTAGTGTGTAACCCCTGTAAAAGGACTAAGGAAACCCCTTGCATGGGGAACTACATAAATACTGGAGCATGTGAATAAAATCGTCAGTTGACTCCCAGAACTGTGTTTCACCCGGTTACTGGGGGATTTGGGATATTGCCTTCATTTTCAGCACTTTCCTTGGATTACTTTCTGTACCAGTGGAGATATTAGGATTTAATATTGCAGCTCTGCTACAATTGACTTAAAATTGCTATGTCATCAAAAATAAACTTTATCCAGTCTGCTACAATATAGCTCCCTGTGTCTGTCTCTTTTTAAGTTTTTTCCAGAGTGATCTAGTTTTTTTAGAAAACATAAAGAATTATAGAGACTACTTTTCCTTATGTATAACATTCACATTGACAAAACTTGGCAATTGGCACAACTTGAGCGAAATTCAGTTTTAATAA